GAGAGCTCTGTGGTGCGGGCAGGGCGCCTCCAGAGCTCCGTCGCGCGGGCGGGCTCCCCGGGAGGGGCAGAGCCCCGGGGGTCGGACGGGGGTCGCCGGCGAAGGGGACGAGACCCCCCCCCGGCCAGGGCAGCCGCGGGGCTCCCTCCGCCCCGGTCCGGCAGGCAACCCTGGGGAAAGCAACCCCAGCGAGCCCTCCGAGGAGCTCTGAAACACCAGCATACTCTTGAGCATTAGCAGCCCGTAACACTCAAATGCAATTAATAGGAATAATTGGCCAACTGTGTTCGTTACGGCCAGAACACGAGCAGCGTTAGCTCTCCTACTGCTTTACAAATATTCGCAGTCACTCTGTAATAATCTGACGCCGTTCATGCATTTACATCCCCAAGTTCTTCCCGTGGCGGTTGAGTGAGGGCAACCCAAGCGGGGTAATTTAATTTGCTGCCTCTCGCTTGTGGCCCTCCAAGATTTACAGCCGACCAGTAATCTCCACTCCAGCAGTGCACAGCCCAACACGGGGCTGTGGGAACACGCGAACGGGGGTGAGGGCCTTCATCCCGGCGGGTTGTCCCCCGGTACAGGGACGGAGGGCAGGGGCTAGGCTGCCCTCGCTGCAGAACAGGGGACGTGAAGCACATCCACGTGGAGCTTTTTGTGTTTCAGGAGGTTGCTGTTGTCCAATACGTGGGAATGAAAGGTATTTTCAGGCCTAAACTAGCTGACGTGAACGGAGAAGAGCTGTAGCCAGAAGAGACGTGAGGAACATCAGGAAGATCTACAAGGCTGTGTTTTAATCCACAGTGCATCTTCCCTTATCCCTCTCCAGTTAGTACAGTAAAAAGAAAAAAAAAAAGAAAAAAAAGGAAATGAATTCCGCTTTGTCTTGCAACACATATTCCAAAACCTGCACCCCAAGACATCATACGAAAACGTGCAGAGATGATTACAAAATGTTTTGGAGACTCGTTGCATTTTAAGCCATTTACCAGGTTAAGTCAACCTTAAGGTACTCAGCATTTAACAGCAAAAAGAGCCAAGGTACTGGTTCTATCAGTGATTCCTTGAAGCTACTTTAAAATAGCAATGCCGGTCTTAGCGGTTGGATTTTATTTCATTTAATTCTAATGCCGCATTTTGGATATACATGGCCGAGAGGTGCAATAGCTGAAGACAAGAGCAAAGCAGCTAGGTGGCACAGGAGCTCCGTGAACCCGGCCCGGAGATGGGCAGCAGTCTGCAGGAGAGTCCCTGCTGCTGCTGAGCCCACCAGGAGAGCCATGGTTGGTATCAAACTGCTGGAGCCCCTCTCGCTCCAGCTTTGGGGGGGCAAGGTGGGCGACTAGTTTAAACCCCTACCAACCTCACCTCCCCTTCCACTTCTTAGGCCTGCTGCTAGTCAAGTTCCAGGAGGACTACAGACAGACAGACAGACGCTGCACCTGAGCCAAAACCTCCCAGTTTGGTCCTGTCTCATCAAGGCAGGTCTGCTGATGCTGGCCATGCTGTCTTGTGCAAACAGCTGTGGGCCAAACCAGTCCTGGAGCTTTTTTTTTTTTTTTCTTTTTTAAATACTGCAGAACAAAAACATGCCAGAAAGACACACTTCTGTCAATGCACTTGTGGTCCATAGGCTGCCTTAAAGAGTACCCCCTTCCCTTGAGCCACCGGCGCGACTGCCTCACGTTTATTCCAGCAAACGCTAGCTCTGAGCTGGGTTTCTCCTTGTTTGTCCCCAGTATTTCACAGAGGCAGCAGACAGGTCAAGGCTGCAGACGAGCGGAGAGAACACAGATAACTTGGTCCAGCAGCAAAATGGAACAGAATTGGAGAAGTCAAAAGACATCAGAAAGCTGAGCACTTTGCAATGCATGCACGGGAACTTCAAACACCAAACCCAAGCCCATCAGGCCGTCCTGAAGACTGGCTTAAGAAAAGGCAGAGCGGGATTTTAAGGCACTTTGCAGTAACCTTCCTCAGTTTACCACACTGCAATGCTTCCCCTTGCAGATGAGTCCCCAAACAGCATAAAGAAATACATCTGCTCCTGCTATGCCCTCGCATCACCACGAGCAGCCAGCCAGCTGGAGGACAACTACAGACTTGGCAGAAGTTGAAGGCCTGAAAGATCTTCTCCTGAAGGTCCAGGGAGCAGGATACTCCACATCTTTCTGTGCAGGTGAGAGACTGAAATCAAATAGCTTTTAAAAGCATCTGGTTAAAGTGAAATGCAGGCCATCTCTGTGGACTTTAAAAGGAGTGCCTTATTCTGCTTTAGCTCTAATCCGTTCGTAATCAACTTAAGACAAATTTATCTTAAGCCAGATTTACATCTGTTAAGAAGGATCCACGCAGCCTTTTGCTCCAGAACTGCGGTACTGATTTTACGGAGGCATCCGCTATTTTAAATGGCTGGAACAGTTTCCAGAAACCAACTGAAGACCAAAG